CTTTTGACAGAAGCAGCTTAAGGGGTGATAATGTCTTTATTTCTTGTTTCAGATCATCATGCTTTGATAAAGAGTTAGCAAGTGACTCATTTTTAGAAGGCATATCGTTTAGTTGCTTCAAGATAGTGTTTTATTTACTCTTAATATTATCAATACTTTTTTATCTTGAGGTGGAACTCATTATTAAATTAGAGATAGAGTCATCCAGCAGCAGATGTGGTGTAAGACCACTCCCAACATTATCAGCTTCAAAAGGAGTAGCAGAGCATGGGGAATATATGTAATAACAGAATTGTTATTATCTGAAGTATTAGGGCATTTCTGGGCTCGTTTTTTTGACAGTCGACCCATATCGCTTTAAGTATAGATTTTAAAGCTATTCATGAGTTATAAACTAGGATTCAAAGATATTCAAACAATATATAAATTAGATACCGTGTTATTGTACGTAGGCTTTCTCGTGGGATCAAGCATACACGTTTATACAGACATGATAGTGATCATGATAGTACAAAGAAATATACAAATCGTTACCGTTCGAAGAACTGTGCCTGTTAAGTGAGTTAATAAAAGCGCTTGATACAATCAACCGTAAACAAACTTAATTGTAGGAGAGGTGCTATAACAGTAATCGCTTAAAGCTAAAATCTCCGTATATAGTCTATGTCTTTGACAAGACAGTGAGGCATGTAATCGAGATAAAGCACTAAATGTTTAGAATTAAATTCTAAGAATTAATCTTACTAATTATTTTTTTAATGCAATATCTAAAAGTGTAAGCAATCACAGTTAGTCGTCCTCCGTTAGTTTGTGATTGGTCAGTCACTGATCTGAGTTGCAAATTCATAAATATTACTATGGTTAGATAACTGTTTGTTAAAGAACGTGAGTAAATACGCTTAGATCACTTCGTAACGATTATTTTTTGTTTTTATTTGTCTTAGTAATATGCCTCGTGTCAAACAACCTTTCGATGAAGCTTTTGTCTTTGTCGTTGGTGGCGGAAGTTATGTTGAGTACCAAAATCTGTTAGATTGGGTCAAATCAACTTGTTCCACTACATCTGGCACATCTAGCACTTCGTCAACATCATTAACAAATTCTGTTAATGGGATAAACAGTCGCCCTGGCCCAGGAGGTCATGACTCATCCAGCGCTCCTAATATTGGTACAGCTTATTCCAAACATATTACTTATGGCTGTAGTGATCTTGTTAGTCCGAGTGAATTTTTATTAGAAGTGAGTTCCCTTTGAGTGCAATTTTCGTAATCTTATGGATTGTTTCTTGATTTTTGCTTTAGTCCGTTCGTCTATGAACTCAAGTTAATTAATTTAAAAAAATTACTAATTACCTGCATCTATGGAGTTTTCTTACGTTGTTCAAAGGTCAACTAACATACAGTAGTTTGCTTGATATATTAATGAAGTTTACCCATATACAGTATGTAAGCAATATATATCTACCATAGTCTCGCAGTGGTTTACTTCATTAGTTTCAAAATTATTATGATTCTTTAAGAAATGCACTGTTTTAATTTCTGATTACACTGGTCCTTCTAGTTTCCGAAATAGCAGTGTTGAAAAACACTCGAAAATCTAACTAAATGATAATCAATTCATGTTACCTAATATTGTATTGTAATCAGGAAACATTGTTTGCTAGATTCATCCTATTTATTTAGAAATCCTTTCAATAATTAAAGTTTAAGATTGTAATGCAAACGTATCAAAGTTTTATATTTATAGCCTATTCCTCTTTGAAAGCACCTAGACCAAATGTACATTACATTGTAGTGTATTCTGGTAAACAGTTTGTTAGATTGAATTTGTCAACTTGTGATGTGTTTTTGATGGAGTTTTGTTCTCTGAGCTGTATGGTTTGGTCATGGAACTTTCACCATTCATCTAGCTCAGAGAACAATACCCCATCAAAATCATCCACCTGAGCTACAAATCTTCACCACTTGTGATGTGTCCTAAGAAATAAGCTACTTCTCGTTTTTATCTTGGTTTTTTAGTTGGGAAAACTTGGGAAGGAGTTGTAACTAGAGTTATCAATAATTCTGGTCGTACAACTAAAAAATTTCCAGTTACCTCTTGGATACAGTGGTTGCTTTGGATTTTATATGCTCTGTAAATTTCTTCTTCTGTGATGATATTTCTTCTAGTGTTTGGCGTGTCAGTTATCTCAAACGTTCATTTACACTAAATTTGGTTTTTTTGAATTATTGTACTTGTTATATGTCTCTATCTCTTATTGAACTTTTTTCTGATATATCTTTGTTGAAATTTTTCGAATATATTCTGATTTGTATCCACATTTTAGATTATTCACTACGTAATTATATTGTTCATTGAAAATTGAAATCTTTGGAAATATAAATGTTCTGTGATTGAAAATAATTTTGACTACTGCTTCAACAATGTACTAATTTTTGTACGTATTGAATTATGTTTTGTAAGCCGTGTATATACGGGTTACTGGGATTTCTGACTGCTCTAACTTTATTTTGTAAGTGTTATCAGTCAATCAAGTTCGATGTTCCAATGTCCTTTGCAAACATTTTCAGGGGAACGAATTTGCACTTTAACCCATATATTGTCTAAAGTGTGTAGGATTATAGTTTTGACAAGTGCGTACGAAATAAACACGTCTAACATGCCACCGTTTAATTTTTAAATAAAATTATTCTGTGGTATTAGTTTCATTTAGCAAACCATCGTTTTTGCTTTAGGTTAAGCCATACTAGGTGATGATACCTGTTTTGAACGTGTGGAAACTAAAGAGATTAAAGTTGGGAGATACATTAGTGACAATATCCAGGTGATCGCTAATTTAGTTTCCTCCATGATGGTGGCCACCACTGTTGAAGCGCTTCGTGTCAACAGACTCAATCTACCCACAGCAGTTCACGTGCATCCGAACAGGATTTAAGTATTAAAAATAACTGGGAGAGACGATTACACTTGGGCCGTCAATGACAAGAGGAACACGAGAAAGATAAAAGCTACCGAACGGGAGTTTACCTGTCCATTCACATAAGTCCAATTTAAACAAACAATGGAAGGGTGCTCACGCTTTTAAATTCGAAAAAACCAAAGGTTACTCGAACTCTGTAAGTTGCGTGAACTAATATATGTTGATATTACTCATCTAATAATAACAACTGAGACTTGAGCGCTTTAAATCACGGACAATAATCTAAAAATATCCGGCGTGTATTTGTTTCAGAATAACAAAAAAACGGGATGAGCGGCGGTGCTCTGTGCTCCTGACTAACAACACGCGATATGGGCTTTCAAGAGTTTGCCATTCTCGATCAATCTGTGCAGTGCAACATGAGGTCATCTCACACGCATAGAAAGTTTGCTGCAAACAGCGAGGTGCGACAATCGTGTGCTGAGGGTTTTTACCCATTCTGTTCGTCTTGGATACATGTGAACTATAGTGATCAGTGGTCTCACTGTTCAATGCTAGGACTTAAATGGTGCTACTCTATAGAATATAAATAAATAAGTGGTCACAACATATATAGGTCGTTCCAATAATCAAGGAACCAATGCATAAGAGCGACAAGAGGAAAAAGGCGATAGTATCCGATCAACACAGTCGAGAAATCTGTCCTTTATCTGAAGACTATTCCACTGTACAACCTCTGTTCGGCAAGCTCAACCTGGAGTTTCTCAGTCTATAGATCCACACGGCCCGACGAACAATGATGATGACACAGAACTTCTGGGGGGACAGTATTTCCAAAGGTCTCACTTGATACTCATCAACAGTCTCGCAAGCAAATTTAAGCGCTCGACCAATGTATCAGGAACTTAAGCATCCAAAAAAACACTTCTTTTGGCCTGGTCAAGGCATTATCCAAGACAATTTGAGTGGTGCTTGTATTAATTAATAATTGTCCGGAATTGGGTGTTTGCTTGATTTTAAATTTGAAATACAATATATTCATTTGTGCTCACTTAATCATACTAGGTCTAAATTACACTAGTTCGTGTAATGATTTAAATACTTTCAAATGTCACAGTATACCTAGACATTTTTTAAAAGAAGACGATTTAATGGAACTTCGTGCTATCAACTAGTAGGACTCTTAATAGCCTCAAAAATTATGGAGTGCTTCATATTAGACCGTATACGTGACTACCTGTACAAATACCTCCTATTTTTCGCAGTTTATAGAGATGACATTCCTCAGCAAGTGTCGTCCGATTGATTACTTACCACATATAAGACTTAGGTTAATCTCTTTCAGAGATGTTTCGAGTCGGAAAAGGTCCAAGGGTGTATTCTCTATTATCTTACATTGACTGATGCTTTTTTTAATAGATTTTGCACTGGTAAATTTAAAGCGCATTTTCGGCCAATCTGACAATAGAACTCTCCAATCATTCATCAACTGTTTTATAAGACCTCACTGAGATTTTAGTGATGTCGTATTTCCCTCCTCACTTCAAAAATATAAGAGTAAATTGGAACGTATACTACGATGAACCAAGAAATAAGTTAGAGAACATAAACTGAAACCTAACGAACAGCGCTTCAAACAACTGAATCGTCACTCACTAAAGCATACGCAATTCAAAAGATGAACTTCAAATGAATTTATGATTCGCTTTAAACCCCTACTTAGCTTCATTCCCAATATAAATCTTAGAGTGGACACACAAATATTAGATAAACAACAAAACAGAATAGCTGTCATGACATGTTATAATGCCTACGAGTAGTAAAAATTTCTAGTACGCTTTGAGATAGTGCAGGTGTCCTTCAATGGGAAACGAGACGTATTCTTTAAGATTCAGGACAGTTTCTCGCTATGATTTACTAACATTCCTCTTTTTATCGTTAAATAAAACTAGGTTCCTGCTTGAAGGCATTGGTTATTTGTTGTTAATAGACACAGAAGTCTGTTAAGCTAAAGCTTCTACTCTTCTAACACCGACCATTTGATTCACATTGGAACCGTGAGTTGCGTACGGACGAGCCTAATTCAAACTCTTGGATGGCCTTGAAATCTTATTGGCTGTGGATGTATACACTACTTACTTATAAAGAATATTTTTTTTAAAATTATCTCTGCTTATCTATGTGACATCGACATCATATCACATCGTAAAGTAATAAGATCTTATTCTTTTTTAGAGATTCTATGATTTAAAAAGAGGCTGATCATATTCAAGATAACCTGTTTGTGACTCAGGGACTTAATTCACTTATTCATGTTCCTATTTTACATTTATAATTGTGATTTATAAATACCTAATAAAATATAGCTTATGTCGTTTCGTAATGTATCCCAATCTCTCTATTTTGAGAGATTTCGGGATTCTCCACAAAGTCCAATCGTCTCTCTCTGGAACTGGGGAAACATTTGAGGTTTTGTACCATTTCCCAGAAATTTTCTACAGCGGCTTCCCTAAAATGGAGAGATTGGGATATCAGGCAAGACGACAATTTATGGACGAATCAATCAGGTATAAGATAACAGGTCTTCACTTTCGGAGCGAAATTCACTCATTCATTTGGCCAAATAGAGTTTTGGTATTATAGCTAATGTAAGTTCGTGATGAAAACCCTAAATCTAATCCCTAACATTAATCATCGACTGTAGATTTTAACTCGAACTCCTTACATTAATATATAACCCTCATTTGGTCCTGGTTATTAGGTGGACGTTCTCAATGTCACTTTAGCGTCGCTCAAAAGTCGTCCATAAATTATAGTCTCACCGGACATCCTAGTTCTAGTTCCTAACTCTAACGTCCTGCTCTAGATTCTTATCTTCGCTTCCAACAATAATTCCTAGCCATCATATAACCACTAAAAGTCCTTAAGCACTACCAAGTTCACTTAATCGCCGTACAGAGGTTGCCTATAAATTGTAGTCTCGTCACTTCCCTTTAATGTCACTGGTTAATGGTGTACGATTGTATGCCTCAATCCTTATGTGTATGTCGTATATCCATTTTTATTTACAACTACTTTGGTATATTTCGTGTATATGTTGAGCACTTAATTAATAACTAGCATGTGTTGGTTAATATCTCGCATCGTGAGGATCAATACGTGTCTCTCGTCCTTTATTCTTCTCACTGAAAACATGGTGCCGGTTGATAGAAAATTACTAATTGTTTTAAACAGTGTTTTCAATCTGGCTTTTGGGTTTTACATTGGCAGAATATAATCACCCAAACATTTAGTAGATAAGATATTGTTGCGTTTTCTTACTTGAAATATACTTTTGGGTATAATGAACTCTTATTTTCATAGAATTTGTTCAGTGTTACGTAATATGTCTTCACATTGATGTCCTAAAATTCCCTTACCGACCAACTGCTTAGCTTATTGTGCTCTAAATTTCATTCTTGGTATTGTTATCGTCAAACCCGTACTCACTGTCTCTAATTGTCAAAGAAGTGATGGTTTCGCAGCCAAAATCCGATCAGACGAAACAGTGAATTGAAAATTGTTAGTTCACAGTGGCTCAGTTGCATTCGGGTTTTATTTTGCTCTGAATGATAAATAATTTATTGTCCCGCCAGCTTTCATTTCCCTTCTTTAACCCTAAGTCTTTTTTCCTCCTACCTGATTAATTTTATTTCTATCATTTATTAGATTCACTATTTCCCCTAATTTTGATCCATTATCTTGGGATAAATCATAAAAAGTCACCATTGCGTTAGATTTGTCGGTATATTATTTTCTTCCTTCGTGTATTGTCCCGAATAATAAAAACTCAGATCAGTAAGATATTGTGCTTGCGTTGTATATTGTCCCATACAAACATAGTATTTTCATGTTTCGTCCAACAGTGATTCGAGAACAACGTTCTCCGATTATTTGTCTTAGAAATGAAACTCTTGTAATATCCGAACTGGACATAGAAGCAAATCCCTAATATTCCTTCAGAATTCTTTTAGAAAAGTGGTCCATACCGAGTCTTTTACTTGAGCTACTACAAATTTATCATTTATATTATAAGAAGTCTACACAATACTCAATTTTATTCAAGATTATGAAGTCAAGTTTTAGTGATGGTATTCACTGATGTATTTTTTTCATTTTTTTACTGAGTGTGAAAATATATTACAACTATTTTTGCTTCCCTTAAATATATATATGTATTTTATCGTTTTCAGTTATCATCATCGCAGCCTGTTGTACAGTGATACTGAAGTTCGCACATAGAAATGAGTGTCCACTCATATTCATCTTTGTTTGAATATCTCAAAAATGTTGGTGTTCATATGCTTGACGAACTGTACACTCATCCTCCAACATGTCTTGTCGTTTTTAGAGAATTACCTGAACTTGCGAAACATTTTGTCATGCGACTTTTATTCATTGAACAACCAATACCAAAATCTATTGTCTCTGGGTGGGTTGAAAAGGGCTCTAGTGCACTTCTAAATGACTCATGTAAAGCTTTGACTGATTTGAGGATATGGCATTCTACAGACAGTAATGTTTCTCGAGGCTCTTGGTCGTTAAATAAAAAGTATCAAGAGTCGATTCGAATATCACTTTTCGGAGGGTAGTCTTTGTTCATTTTCTAAATCTTTATGATTAAATTACAGTGGAAAACCCTTACTTGGAGATTTAGGCATTGTGACAAACGATAAGTACTCAAAAAGTGTTGACTTTTTAAAATCGTATGCAGCTGAACGTTGGGATGTAAGTTTCTGTGTGAACTAATTTCCTTTCTCGCAGGCTATACTTCACTTTATGGTAGGTTCTGAATCAGCGGAAGTTGGAAGTGTTGTGAAGGATGTCCTTTTATTGTCCAATTTAATGAAATGGTATGTTCAAATTTCTAACAGTGGATACATGTTCATATATACTAACTGTCAGTGAAGGTAATGATTGTCCAATTGGTATCACAAAGCATGGGTTCCATTTCTTGCTTATGAGTCGACAGTTTCAAGTGCTAGTTTTCATCCTGCACTACTTTGACTACTTAAAGGTAATTCAGCTATTAACTGTGCTCTATTATTTTTTATTTTAACAGGAAAATAGTAAAAATCTAGTTGGAGCCCTACAGTTCGTTTTCCAACTTAGTTTTTTGTGTCCGACAAAGGTGAGCTCATTTGTTTTATAAGGTTAATATGCACTAGACACAATAACTGTACACACTTTCCTGTCTTAGATTGTAGGTTACACATATTTTGTTATGGGTAATTGTTATATTCATGCACTAGGTTTATGTTCCAAAACTCCAACTTCAACACAGTGAATAAAAATACTACTATCCTCTTCTTCCTTACCCTTCTAACTAGAGTAGGCCCATTTTTGTAATGGAAGCTTTGTTGGTGATGACCCACCCCCATTATAACTAAAATACATGTAAGTTAATCGGTTATTTATAGATTACAATGATTGTAGTTTACTAGCCGAGTAATTGTCACCAAAAATATATAGTGAAAATTCATTGAAAGTTCTTAAATTAATGTAACGGAAATGTGCTGGAAATTGACCTTATATTCATTTTAAATCTATATTGACTTTCTTCCTTACAAGTTGTATTTGTGTATTCCAAAACCCTAAGACTAAGTAAATTACATTTTATTTGGAATGGTTAACATTAAATCCTTATGTAACCTAAAGCAGGATAAGCGAACTTAAAATCCATAAATTACTGTTGAACCTTCACACCATGGAATATTTGCTCCTGTGTTTAGCGTTTTTTCAGTAGGATTCTTTTCCACGGGATAAAGTTGGTAACCTCATGTCCAACCCTCTCCATTTATCTGGGCTTGGAACCGGAATCAAACGTTAGGTCTCCAGACGGAGTCACCATCAAATCATAGCCTCAACATTTAACCGATTATAAATTTTAAGCAATTATAAGTGACAAGTTATACATATTCTCCCCTAAGTTGAAATTTCTGCAGCAGTTCATTAATTTCTTAGCGAGAAACCAGTATATATCTTACCCCCCCCCCGAATGCCATGGTATGGCCGAAAGTGGGGTGGGCTGTCCCTCCCTCTCGAAATGCTCTCACACGATCACGCGTATACAGCCTCTGCCAGGGAAGTCCTACTCACTGCCTTCTCGTGGCGAGGGTGTTGTTTACGAAATTGAGAGGACGAAAAGCGAATGTCCAGCGCTTTAACCGGATCCCAAATCAATGGTGCACATGGGCTCCAGTATCCTGCGGGAACAAATGGCGTATGAACCAATTCCTTGGTCACCGGCTACCATGGGACTGCATCTCTTCACGATGCTCCACTGCCTTATGGGTTAGACGTTTAGATCAAAGGCTCGGGGTGTGGTCCCCTAAGAAAACCACCTGCTTCGGTTTGGGCACCCGGGCAGTATCACAACCCTCACACAAATCGAATGAATTTTGTGGCGCATATCTACTTGGTGCCTCCTTGTACCAATGTTTATGTGTTTAAATAATAAAAAAATATCTTCTAAGAAATATTTTCTCTTATTGACACTAATGTCATTAAGCAGACAATAGTATACACAGAGCAAAATAAATGACGGGTAATTATATTGGTATCCATACTAATGTAAACATCGAGCTTTTGATGGGAATCATAAGGTATGAATCCAAACATAGAAGTTAAAAGTAAAGCCAAACGCGTATTTTAAACTTGCCTACAGTGAGAAGAAACTTTATTACGTGGCATAAATTTGGGCTGGTTGACCACTTGATTTATCGTAAAAGTCTCATTATTCATAAAAATGTGACGGCTAATAAAATCTAGGCATGAGTTTAGAAAGCTACTTTAACCTCTACAAGCATATGCCTCTCACTCATTAGACGAGATATCCGTCTGCCAACAAAGAGGGGAGAGTATACTGCGCAGCTGTCCTTTCTGTATTACATTATGTAGCTAGCAGATAACCTATGAAACCAGATATTCACAGACTGCAATTATTAGGTCATCGATGTCTTGGAGCATTTCTTGCTGTATCGTTGGGTGACTTTATGAGAAATTTGGAGGTTAGGCGTATATCTCTTACCAGGATGTCCACCTAGAATAAGCAAACGACATAGTCCTGTTTGGTGAAGACACTGGTAAACTGCAGAGTCTTTTGGTAGCACTGAGCAACAATGCCAGAATGTTTGGGATGCACTTCTCCCCCTCAAAATACAAATTGTTTCTTCAGAACTGATCTGCGTCAACACCTGAACTAAGGATATGGAGTGAGGTAGTCGAACACGTTGACAACTTCACTTATCTTGGAAGTCTGCTCATCCCTAATGGGTTGGTGTCTGACGAAATCTCAGCACGGATTTGGAAAGCTCATTTGGCTTTTGCCAACTTACGTCACCTATGGCGAAGGTGAGATATCCGTCTATAAACTAAGGGACGAGTATACTGCGCTGCAGCTCGTTCTGTTTTACTTGACGGCTGCGAAACGTGGCCATTAAGCGTAGAAGGTACTCGTAAGCTACTAGTATTTGACCACAGATGTCTTAGAAATATTGCTCGCATCTGCTGAGATCATCGGGTAAGTAATAGTGAGGCTAGACACATGGTATTAGGGAATTGTGGTAAATCAGTTGATAAAGTTGTGGCCTCTTTTCAAGTATGCCTGAACACCGATTACCACGGCGCGCAGTTTTGACTAGTGCTGGGGATGGTTGGCAGAAAGTTAGCGCCGTCAAACCAAAACGTGGAATTAGTGCTTGAAGTCACTAACTTCCAGCCATTACCATGTTGGTAGATTCAGACTGCTTGGTCGGGGTCCGCACGACTATCGTAACAAGTTGATGGAGGCTCTTAGTGAATTGCCTCAGAATCGATCACAATGATGTAGGTGTATGCACTCTTTGTCTTCCCTTAAATCGTGAGACTAAAATTACTTTATGCCTTTCTTCCTACCAAGTAATTCTTTCTTCCTGTATCATGTCCTTCATTTTATGTATTACTACCATTGAAGTAACTGTTCTATGAATTTGATATTCATCTTGTTGTGCTAATGAGGTGTGTCAACTTGGAACGAGGCATATATGTGCCTGGTCCTACGTTGTAGCTGACTAATTAAAAGACCGCAAATCTCTTAATGAAACAATCTTTATTAAATGAAATTGCTCCAATACATGAAACATGTATCCGACCATCTTCTACCTCAGCATGTTATTAATTTCTGGTAGTCTAAAGCAGTAGAAGATTATCTTATTTATTTATTTAAACACATAAAAATTGGTACACATAGGTACCGAAAAGATATGCGCCACACAAATCAAATGAGATTTGTGTGAGGGCTGGGATAGTGCCCGGGTGCCCAAGCCGAAGTAGTTGGTCTTCTTAGGGGGTCACACCCGGCCTTTGGCCTGAAAGTCTAGTCCCCAAGGCAGTGGAGCAACATAAGGAGATGCGGTCCCATGGTAGCGGGTGACCAACACTTGTTTCATACGCCATTCGTTCCTTCAGCATCCTGAAGCCCATTTGCACCAATGGTTTGGAATCAGGATTTTCCAACTTCCCTAGGTGGACTCTCGGTGTCCACCAACCCAGTTAAAGTACCGGACATTCGCTTTTCATGCTCTCAATTTCGTAAACAACACCACCATGAGAAGGCAGTGAGGAGGACTTCCCTGGTAGTGGTTGTATGCACGTGGCCATGTGAGAGCATTCCGAGAGGGAGAGCTGACTCTTCCCACTCTCGGTCGTACCAGGACATTTGGGGGCAGTAGAAGGTTAACATAAACTTCCAGTCGGTATGAATTTTTCCAAGCCCAAACAAGTGTGTCTATGTAAGGTCGGTGATTGTTTACCTTACTTTATTCCAACGTCTGTTAAAAGTATGGTTCGCGGAAACCTGATGGAATTTCTGTTGTTGAGTCTGTCTCAAATAACTCTACAACCGCTAACTTATACAGAATGAATAATGGTTGTACTTTTTTATAGCTTCATCATTTTGTTCATCGCAGTCCTGTTTACAAAGAACTCTTCCAGATATTCGTTCCATATTTTCCTGCTTTTTACAATCACTTAACCTCGCCTTTTAATTTCTACTAGTTAGACGTTTATTTTAAAGTTTTTTTGACATTATGAAGCAACAATTACCTACAATGTGGTTGGATATTTTCAGAATCTTTATGTTGTTTTTATACATATTTCGATATCATTTTCAGGGTACTCATAAGTAGTTTGCTTTTTACTGACATTTTGTGAGATGTTTCATTATTTGTAATTTACGCTGTTAAACTCATGAGTCTATTGCGAACCTGGAAGTACTGGACAGCCGCTTCGCCCTAGTATAAGACTCCTCCGCAGTGCTCATCCATGACCTCACCCGCGGGGTTCGAACCTCAGACCTTTGGTTCCGCGCGCAAACGCTTATCATCTAGACCATTGAGCCGGCGTCCAGAGGTCTTAATATCTAAATTCAGTCTATCCATGATCTTGCGCAACCCTTCATCCATTGTTTGAAGTAGATACCTGTCTCTGTCTAATACGGATCGGACTTCACTGATCAAAGCATCTCACTAGAACTCTAGGAGTTCCATCTTGAAGCTAGTCACTAGTGATCACATGATTGTTATTAATATTGGGATTTGTGGAGATTGCATTATTTTCATAGTGCGGGATCATGAATACGTTCTGTGGAGTAGTCTCATACTGGGGCGAAGTGGTCGTCTAGTTCTTCCAGATTCTGAATGGTTGTCTAGCTTAGATCGACTCATGAGTTCAACAGTGAAAATGTTATAATCTCCGTAAATTGATTCTCTCCTCTCTAGTGTTTGAGTTTTTATAATATTTAATACATCTCATTTCTTGATTGTATTTATTTCTCTCTAATTATTTTTCTTACGTTTAGTCTTCTGCTAAAATCGATGCCAAATTTCCACTGCATATTTTTTTTATTTCTTATTTTTATGTTCTGATGTGGAGTATTTTACTTAGATCTATGAACATCTGTTCTATATCCTGTGTTGTTCATGAGTAGTAATTAACTCGTATATTATCTGGTGTCAATCGTATTTAAGTAACTCGAAGGAGAATCCAGTGTCAATTTTTCCACAATTTACTTGTTTATTTGTTTTATTCGTTAAGTAATTTTAATAATAGATGTAGGAGAATTTGTCGCATTTATTCGGTGTCACTATTTGTTTCTCTCTAGTCATCCTGTTATTCTTTATCTATTTCTCATATTATTTATATGGTACTGTGATACTACTTTATAATATGCCTCGCTCTGTATATACTTTGTCCCGGATTTAACCTCAAAGAAATATTTTGTTTTAGATAAATATACCCCTTAACAGTTGAGAAGGACGTAGTTAGCAAAGTGAACTACTAGAAAGATTGTTACGTTCCTAATAAACAACTGTTAACTGTATCATATATAGATTTTCTCCAGTCTCCTCAAAAAACTTTAGAGTTTGTTCTGCATTTGTTTAGTTTCCTAATTTAAATAGTTTCGTGATAATATCTTAGAAAAATGAAACATTTTTTACATTATATCATTAACTTTCATCTAATGAATAACACAACTGTTAACTTTTTGGACGCGATCTATCACTCAATCTCAATAATTAATAGCTGCCATAAAGTTCTTAGATTACTAGTTTCTGACATGCCTAATGTATTGTATAATTATTGTTTCGTATTTCAGAACTATTTTCTATATTGCGTTTCTGTCTTCACTTTCACTGTAGAGCTATCCAGTAGAGGCACTGAGTACTGCCCAACAAGAAGTATTACAGCATATGCGCGAACTCGGCTTAGCTTATCAACGAAAGCGTACTGCGCCTCGTTTTTATGTAACTCCTCTTGCTTTGGATGTAGCTGGAGGTCATACTACTTTCTTGGAAAGTAAATCAGGTGGATGGGGTCCACAATTAGGAGTTATTCCTACTGGTGTTTCAAAAACAGATCCCACCGATAGTAACAAAATGTTTTCGCAAATTTCGGTATCGAATTCTTCCGATGTTGGTTACATTTTGCTAGAAACCAATTTCCGACTATACGCCTATACTGGTAAGCGAGCAATTTATGTTGTGCAACTGCTTGAAAAATATTATTGTGTTAAAAAATATTGAATTTGTTGGGATATTCAGGAAAATATCCCAGAAATTATCTAATAAATCTAATGCTATTCTTGGACTTGGAGATGGTATTATTTACTTATTGGTCAGTACTTATTTCACGTGTCATTTTCCTACTGGTTAATATTGTACAATGTTATTTTCTATTTTATGGTACGTTGTGGTCTGCTTGACTGGTATATAAACAAAGTATGTTTTAAATATAATGATTCATATATCCGAGGCTGTGACTTGCGTTCTGGACTCAGCTGCTGGGCTAGACAGGGAAGCGGGACCAATCAGAACCCTAGGTCGTTCTACGTGTTTGCGCGTCTTTGGTCCGATCGATAATTCGCTACCCTCAAATCTGCCGTCACAGTTATAGCAGAATTGTACTGCAATTGTTCATCTGATTGGTGAATAGATGAGAACAATTGTGACAGGTAATTGAACATCTTCCACCTGATCAGTATTCGTTGTAATCAATTTTAATTAATTATTCAAACGTTCTACGGACATTACATTTGCCTCTGTGATTCTCATCAAACAATTATATGGGTATATAACTTGTTTAATTGTCAGTAAGATTCTCAGTCCCGTGCTATAGTTTGTAGTTGATTTATACATTTTTCAGGTTAATCATCTTCATATACGAAATATTCACATCACTCTTTATGACTATTATTATTAATAAAATTGTATATTAATTGCGGTTTACTATGTTTTCATATTTATGTCAGAATTTATTTTTCTTTCGTAGATTCACCGCTTCGTACCGCTCTTCTTAGTTTATTTAGCAAAATACGTGCACGTTTTCCTAATCTTGTTGTTGCTGATATAACTCGTGACTCAGTTCGTGAAGCATTAATTCGTGGAATAACTGCGAATCAGGTAAGTTTTAATAATATTCCCATTTTAATCTTAACCAACTTAATTTTATAGATTCTATCTTTCTTAACAACCAATGCACATCCAGATATGTTACTACAGGTAAATTTTGTTTGTTTTATTTCCTTACCGTGAGTTATTTTCTGTTGTATCGAATTCTCAAAACAGATACTTAACCATGTGTAAATTGTCAAGCGTAAGATTTAGTAATTTTAACTGCATTCTTACATTCTCTAAAGTTTTTTGCGTATGTTGCAGTGTGTTAGTTTTGGATATTTATGGAAGAAATATGTAAATGGTCTGTATAATAGTTGGTTTTTAAAATAAACCATTTGATGTATAGAGATCAATGATTTCTATGTTAGGTGTTTAGAGACAGTCGGTAAGGAGCCCTGGACTAGTTTATATTTATCACCAAGGCTTATCTGTACTCTTAAGTGAATCGTTTTTTCCGTAGAATTCAAACTCCTATCAGTCAGTATCATATAGACGTTATCAGTGATTAGTTTAGGTGTTGTTTTCGGTTATTTCTGTCACAGAATTTCTGGTTTTTGACTCAAGCTGAAACTTATTTAATGAATACCTAAGATAACCACACAAATCGACAGCTTCGTGACAACCATGATCATGTGTGATGGAGAACATCAACGCTGTTGACTTTTTATATTGAATATCTCATAAATAGATTCTTGTCTCGCTAAATTTTAGTCAGATGTAACATATGGAGCCCTATCATTTCAAATAAACGTTAACGATCAACTGAAGCACCTTGAATGACACCAACCAGATGGGGTTGCGTCCGTCTCCAACAACGTAACTAACCTCTTAAGAAACTTAACTGCCGAAAGTGACCCACCATACTTCAAGACTTTTCTAAAGCAACTTATCAGGCCTTTCCCCTTCAATTTAGGCGCGTTTTTAAGCTTACTAAAATTTACGAGACTTGTTTTACTTTCCATTCCAGTTTATATAGGAGTGGAAGTTAACTAATGAATAGCTAAAGGTCAGTGGAACCGCCCTTTACTGTTCCGCCCGCCGTTCTAATATCCTAGAAAGGATGGATCACTGTATTGTCGTTTCCTAAAATAATCTGACAACTTACTTCTTTTCTTCACTGTTCATCGTTGTCTGACGCTGTTTGAATGACGTTTCGAGCGTACATTACTTGAAAACTAAGCTTATATTCGTTTTCAAATTAGACATAACTTATTAAATGTACACTAACTCCATTTACTGTTTTTAATTGTACTACAGAATCCTATATTACCTCCTACTTTAACCGATCAAATACGACTATGGGAATTAGAACGAGATAGATTTCTATTTCAAGAAGGCTGTCTGTATGAACAATTCTCTCGGAATACAGATTTTGAAATGGTTCGGGATTATGCTAAAGTAAATTTGTCCTTATTCTTTTTGTTAATGGAGGCTTTTTCTCTATCTTTAGAATATTGGTGTTTTACTCTGGGAAAATCCTGAACGAAGACTTATGGTTGTGTCTAAAGCAGGTCATGAAGATGTACGGAAATTTTGGAAACATAAACGTCCATCCTAAAACTTTGTCACTGTTCAATTTTCTTTTTCTACTTCAGATTATATGTACATATATAATTAGACATTTTCATTTTTATTCTAACAGTATTTGTTGAAGAATGATTTTTCAGCAAAACTCCATGATTTGTCATTTTTAAACTTAAAACTCTGCTACTTCCGTTTTTTAACCAGTTTGGTGAAATATCTAGAGAAGTCACGCAGTAATAATAGTTAAACAAGATACCCTATACAACTATAAGTATTCACATACATGGAACAAAATCTAAACTTGTTTATCTTACTTGTTTACTTTCGTCACAGTGTTTGTTCTCTTATTTTAGGAAGTTCTTATCGAAATAAAGCTTAGTAAGCTTCCATTATTGGATTCGTGAGACTAGGTTTTGGTATATAAATATATAACCTTCCGCAGTCGATGTACACAATTTTTGCTATAAAGATTTTCATCCCAGCAACTATTACGACGAATGCATTAATTCTATTTCAGTAATCATAATTCAATTTGTTAAACAATCAGTGAAATTAAAATTTCTGATTGACAAAGTAAATTCTTTAAATCTACTAACTAATAAACGTTTCTTACCAGTGAGTGACTACTCAACTGAACTTCAACACTATTATTGAATATTTACTAAATTTAATTAAAAGACGTTGTTTACAACTTATTTGGATATACATTAAAATCAAATAGCAATTGACACTTGTTCTACCGAAACTCTTGATTTCATAGTTAATCAAATCTTTGTTTTTCATTAAATTTACACAGAGATATATTTAAATATAGCTTTCTAACTGCAGACTGTGTCTTCCTACCCTTTAGTAGATTATATTCGAATGATTCAAAAATAATTCTAACGTACTTAAGTTTAAAAACTCTATAGAAATTCAGAAAAAATAGTCCATTAACTGCTCCGAAAAACCGAAGGTGAAAGTCAAGGAACTCTGAAGTATATAACGAAAAAGAATATGCATGGTAAAATAAACTATTGTTTCACTGTATGAAGTCCTCACTAGCTAGAGATCTATTGAGAAGTTTAGTCATATAGTAGTTTAAGTAAGCTGATTTATTCTAAAACAATAGTTCCCACTAAGTAAATAGCGGTAATCGAAATACAGTTATCCTACATTCCCATAAAAAATTCATAATCACTTTATTGACTGCACAGATCCAACTTTTAGTTTTATGATGAGTAGTCTTATCAACCGACTGATGTGTAGGCGAGAAGAATGAATAGTTGTTTGCTTATTCTGACAAATTGGTGTAAGGGAGAAAACCGAGCGTTACTTCAGTGGCAATGGTGGTTAAAATGGACCTAGGCTCAAATTTTCAGTTTAATTGGATTTTATATCAACAAAATCGATCATCTGACATTATTATTAAAACAGCGAAATGTTGATCAAGAATACGTCGGTATCTTCGAAAACTCATGACTTCAGATACTATCGCAAATTCACTCAGTGCGTTTATATTTGATTCAGAAAGTGGACTTACTTTTTAGGCGTGGTTTAAGCGCCATACGTATCTAATTATTAATGATTATAAAGAGTGGGACAAAAGCCCAAAACAGACTATTGTTACGAAAACTCGGAATTCCTGAACATGAAAAGTTTTGTAATTTTATTCTCCCAAATAATTCAGCCAATCTAACCTTCAGAGAAACGTATAGTTGGTGAACGATCACGAAACTTTCACACTAGATACCAGGGTTTTCAGCTTGTAAAAGGTCCACGGTACTATTACGTGGTGTATGCCAGTATCATGGATCGGGAATGTGAGCAGTTCCATCTACAGAAATTGTCTTCAGACCAATTTGAATGCTCTATTTTTGTGTGTAGATTATGATATTCGTCTAAGGCAAATTAGTGTTTTATCGGTGTAAACGGGGAAACGGAGCGAAATAACATTAATATACGATTTCCACACATCAAATGGATGATATAATATCTGAGTTCATAAATATCTTACTTTTACTACCCTTAGATCTTCTAGTTCTTTTAATAAATGTTCCTTATCAAACAGAAACACACTAAATACTTCTAGTTGAAGTGAATTTATTTCATTTCATATTTCTAAAATTTTCCACATAGAAACAAAAAATAATTGTAAAAAATATACATGTGAATACTTCAGTTAACTGGTCCAAGTAATCGTAAATACTTTCTACATTTATAAAAGTTCAAATTATATATGAACAGGATTAAGTAGACAGTTCATACAATTAATCAACAAGAAATATATTCAAATTGTTACTTATAAACAATAAAAATCGGTAGTAATTTCCAAATAATAATAACGATGATAATAAAACAATAGTACAGACAAAACAAGTTTGATTTATCGTGAAAATTAAACTACATACGTATTAATGTACGTAGGCTACTTAAGTCATTCATAACACATGTCTAACAATAGTTTTCGATTGTACCATATTCGCGCAATCCATGCTATAAAAATATTAGCAATAATACTAAAAAATTTATATTCCGTGACAATAATCTCTATAATGTTATCAGGTCTTTGTTTTTACTAATTTCTGAGGTTCTTTCACAAATATTCAATTTCCACAGTTGAAATCTCGAATTGATTAAATCTAGACCACCATTGAAAACCTGGAAGTGCATGAGGGCCGTTTCGTCCCAATATGCGACTATTCAGTAGTGGGAAGATCGTAACCTACACACAAAAATAGAGCATTCAAATTGGTCTGAAGACAATTTCTGTAGATGGAACTGCTCACATTCCCGATCCACGATACTGGCATACACCACGTAATAGTACCGTGGACCTTTTACAAGCTGAAAACCCTGGTATCTAGTGTGAAATTTTCGTGATCGTTCACCAACTATACGTTTCTTTGAAGGTTAGATTGGCTGAATTATTTGGGAGAATAAAATTACAAAACTTTTCATGTTCAGGAATTCCGAGTTTTCGTAACAATAGTCTGTTTTGGGCTTTTGTCCCACTCTTTACAATAATTAATAATTAGATACTTATGGCGCTTAAACCACGCCTAAAAAGTAAGTCCACTTTCTGAACCAAATATAAACGCACTGAGTGAATTTGCGATAGTATCTGAAGTCATGAGTTTTCGAAGATACTGACGTATTCTTGACCAACATTTCGCTGTTTTAATAATAATGTCAGATGATCGATTTTGTTGATATAAAATCCACTTAAACTGAAAATTTGAGCCTAGGTCCATTTTAACCACCATTGCCACTGAAGTAACGCTCGGTTTTCTCCCTTACACCAATTTGTCAGAATAAGCAAACAACTATTCATTCTCCTCGAATACACATCATTTAATTTTAATCGATTTATACATTTACACATATAAATTTCTTTGATAAAAAATTTTAATCGATAGGTGTTATGGAACAACAAAATATAGGGTCAGTTTATTATTACTGTTACATGAAAAAGTTGGCGTATGATTTGAATTAAATATAATTAGTAGTGATTATCAGGTTGGTCTTCTGTTAGTGTGTGTTATACACTACGTTTTTAGGTCATTACTTATATGCAAGGTTTACATTTATAGATGTTTATAAGACAAATGTACTCACTCAGTAATTAGGGCATTTAGAGAAAATTGTGAATGAATATTAAAATATGATATTAAAACAATGCCAAGTAATTCTGAAGTATATGTTCCTATAACTTTCAAACTGCTGAAAGTAGATTAGCTATAACACATTTAATACGAACAATACACTAATTTCGCTTTAATGTAATCAAAATTTGTACAGTAGGTTAGTCATATGATTTGACAAGAATAATTGTAATTTCAACAGTTGATATCATGAGTCAATCGAAGCTAGACCACCATAGAGAACCTGGAAGCATTGAACGGCCGATTTGTCCTTTTGTGGGACTCCTCAGCAATGCGCATCTACGACCCCGCCTCGCGGGATTCGAACCCAGGACCAACTAGACCACTGATCCGGCATCCAACAGTATTAATGTATAACTAATCCACGAAATTGAGTGACACATCCACCATTGTCATTAGTAAGTTACTACCCCACAACTGACCCGGTTGAACTCCACTGGTCACTGCTTTGCACTAGAACTCCAGGATATATCTCTTGAGGCCATTCACTAATGAGGATATGTTGATTAGTATCAGAAGGGGTTTTGTGGAGATTATAGTAATTTCAACAGCTGAGATCATGAGTCAATTGAAGCTAGACCCCGCGAGGCAGGGTCGTGGGTGCGCACTGCTGAGGAGTCTTACAGCAGGACGAAACGGCTGTCCAGTGCTTCCAGGTTTTCCATGGTGGTCTATCTTCAATTGATTCATGATCTCAACTATTCAAATTACTACAATCTCCACAAACCCCTTCTGATATGAATAATTGTAGTTAGCTACATTACAAAAGACAGGAACTAATGTGCATGAAATCCTTTGGTTCTAAACTTTTGTGTTTCCTATTATTATTTAGAATTTAGTTACCTACATTATTCAGTCATTAATTCGTAATACTTTGAAGGTAAACAGATTCAGACCGATAGACACCAAATGAGTAAGTTCTCTCAACGTTAATTCTGGTTATCCCGAGACTACTAGCGATATAATTTTAATTGAGCTAGTCTTTCAAATAAAGCGCAATGGATCCATCACGTAATCTAGATTAGGTTAAGGAAAAATCTTGAATAGATAACACCCAAACTCAATAACTTACTCAGTGGTTATGTCAGTCGTCATTATGCTTTAAAGATTATTTTGATCCTCAAGATTTATGTTCTACTTATGATTTTATCGGTTAATGGTTCATCAGGGCCAAAGTACCTTGATAAATATCTTAAATGCTCAACTGATGTACCACCTATGTATTCACCCGTTCTAGATAAGGTATTTCTGTAAACTAGTTCATGAACACCATCTTATATAAAACAGGATTCAGATTTATGTTAAACACCATTTGATTTTTCGCTCAAAAGGATAATTAATGTTTGCCTGATATCATTTCACTTATCATATTGAATTCGGACAATGAATCTTGAATCAATACAACCTTAATTTAAGTGAATAAAAAGACTGAGTGCAGTTTATCATCGTTTACCAACCATATGTATTCGTAAAATTGTGATATCTTTTATAGTGAATGAATAAAAACGAGAAATCCACATCTCTTCAACACAAGATGGATACGACCTGAAGCACAAATATTAACCATGATTTTCTATATACCGAATGATTTTATTGTCTTGAAATTATTTCTATTTTAGCGATGTACACCATTTTCTGTCTGTTCTTCTAGACCACATGGTTTACGAGTGCGCTTTTTGCACAATTTACTTAATATATTTAATAGCGTTCATCCATCAATTAACTTTACATCAGAAGATGAACAGAAAAATAGTATATCTTTTCTAGACGTCCAACTAACTAGAAGAACAGACGGAACTATAAAAAGAAGGGTACACAAAAAGTCAGCAGCAGGTCAATACACTCATTTCCAGTGCAGTTCCAATCAGATACAAAAGGAACTTGATAAAGATCTTGACACATCGTGCTAGAATGATCTGCTCTGAAGACACAATTGAAGAAGAATTGAACAATATTCAAAACCTACTCATTTTGAATGGGTACCCCATGAAATCCATCGACAAACATATGACAGAGAAGAAAACAAGGACAAAAATACCCACCGTCCCCAAGGTATTATTCATAAAACTACATTTCATAAATGACACCATTGAAGAAGTCATGACTCAGAAACTACGAAGAGCTGTACAAAAAACATTTAATGCTGCCAAATTAAATGTCATCTTCTACAACCACCCGAAAATAAGAACATCCATTAAAAACAGACTGCCAGAATTTGCCAAATCTATGTGTATCTATCGTTTCAACTGCTCCTGTGGAGCCAGTTACATAGGGCGTACAATTCGGCGGGTCCGTCACCGCATTACAGAACATCACCCGACAAGGCTAAGCAAAGGACAGGTGAAAGTGATTAAAAGTTCTATTCTCTCTCACTTGGTTGACACAGGTCATCAAGTCGAATTGAATAAAGCTTTTAAGATTATCTACAATATTCCATCAAACCTACCACATGGTTTACGAGTGCGCCTTTTGCACATTGCGGAAGCCATAGCAATCCATGTTCACAAACCTGACCTTTGCATCCAAAAGAAATTCGTACAACCACTTTGTCTGCTCTGGCCTTCAGTATAAGATTTCCGTCATAAGAACTATTTTTCATACTTCTTTTTTAAATTTTCGTAATTTTGTTTTTATTGCTTCTCAACATTCATCTCTTGATTTTTACGTAACTAATATCCTATTGAGCATCCATTAAAATTCTGTTCCTTCTCTGTTTCTTATATTACGCAACGTAGCAACTTCTTGATTTAATAATTACTTTGAATATTATTAATCCTCTTTCTTCCAATTACTCAATGTTAATTTAAATGTCATTATGTAATTATTACGTAACGTATCCACTCCATGAGTATTATATTATTATTGTAAAACATATATATATATATATATATATATATATATATATATATATATATATATATATATATATATATATATATATATATATATTAGTGTAGAGCCATGATGAAAAACTAATTGAAAAGAAACTTCTTCGCTCAATTCTTCCTTTCTTTATTTACCAAATGGCAAAATAGGAATTTTCACTAAATTCAAAATTTCTCAGAATTAGACACCTAGAATTCATAATTAAATGACACACTTTCAAATTTAACAATGACTACAATATGATTTAGCCAATGAGCAAAACATCATTAGTTCTTTTAATACGCGATAGGCTGATAATACATTTCAAAGTAAATTAACAATTCACACCTGATTATTACTGAATTTGACAAAAACAAATATTTTATTCTAATTTTGGAATTTTAAGTTTTGTATTTGGTTCAATGCCCTACGACTTATAAATGTCCTCTCTAGTTGATTACAATCTACGGTGAAAACCATACTTACTTTAGTTACGCTTGTTACCCCTGATAGTGGAGCATAGGCCAGCCACTAGCATTCTCCATCCAACTCTGTCCTGAGCAATCCACTCCAATTGCTATTCATCCTTTTCATATCTGCTTCCAATTCTCGACGCAGTGTGTTAATCAACCTTCCTCTTATCCGTTCCCCTTCAGGATTCCAAGTTAGGGTTTGCCTCATGATGCATTTTGATGATTGACGTAATGTATATCCTATCCAATTCCAGTCTTTTCCTTATTTCCTCTTCCTTTTATTCAAAGAGTACAAAGTATTTAATTCAATTTGAAATCGATTAGACCATCCTGTTGTTGACATTTTTAAAACACGCGTTCTTAAATCCATTGATAGCCACACTCTATCCATTCTGTAGCACAAAGTATTGTTAATATGGTGTGTTGTGTATTAGTGTTAGTGAATCTTTGTCAACAATTACGTAATTGAAATTCTATCACTACTTATAATAGTAACAATAGGTATATTATAATAATTCATATTATTATCACCATTACTATACAAATAATGATGATGACAGAGGAATGTCAGTCTTTTTGGTCAAAAAAGAATCTAATATCATTATCTATAATTGGATCAAACTGTATCAGTTTACTATACTACCAAAACATCGCTTAACAATGATAATACTACCATTAATGGTAATAATAAATGTCAACACGAACCCCATACTAAATAACAGCCACATAGTTGTGATAAAAGATAAGACATAGAAAAGTAGTAATGATTTGTTCCGAAATGATTTATGAAAAGATATGCACAGTGCTTTTTACTTATTAAAAACGTGCTAAAAATAGGTGTAATTTTTAAGACAGAAATAAAACAAATTAAGGCACATTGACCAAGCTCAATGAATAAAAAACAGTGCAAAGAAAATTCCATCTGTGTATGACTCTATAGAAGTAGAAATAATAATTTGATTACCAGAAAAAAGTGAGTAAAATAATACACAAAAAAGTTAATGAATTTCATTGGGAAAAAATCAATATTAATGAAAGCATATGGTAAACAAATTAATAACAAAGTAATCGGATGTTAGCTTATTTTTTTCTCTTTTTATTGATTCATGTCTCCCAGTCTGAGCCATCTGAGCCAATATCACCTGGTACAGAATTGGCATCAGATTCTTCTCCACTATCATTACTACGCATTCGATTACGTCGCATTTCCATTGCTTGAGCAAGTGATTGTAATAAATCGAATCCCCCTCCACTGGCAGATGGATTTGCGCCAGTACTATTATTTCCACTATTGCTATTACTAGGTTTCACAGGTGGCCTAGGCACACCTTCACCAGGTGTAATCTAAAGTATAAAAAAAGAACAAATACAAATAAGGAAGAAATCATCTGTTTATACTAAACATCTATCATGGAACAAAAGCAAAATAATAAAGAAAGACCATAAGTCAATCTATTGGTAAATATTGCCCAGTACAGTTTTCATGAAGGCTAATATTAATGAATGGATTATAAATTAAGCGAAACAAAATCAAAGTTCACCACTTTATTTTATTATGCAGAATTCAAGTTGTTTAATGATTGTAATCAATGAATATATTTATTTGAAGCACTGTAAGAGAAATAAAATCCTACACTGCAATAATGTAGTGAACGGATGATAACGCAACTATGTCCAAGAATAAATTAGTTCATAGTCCATAATTTTTACACACTATTTAATTAGTTTACATATCTTATAATTTAGAAAAAATGGAAATATGTCTTCTTTCAACTAATATAAAATGAGAATAGTAAAAGGTGTACATTAAATGTAGAAACAGTATCAAGCATGTACATTGTGGAAACTACGCCAATAGGTAGATGTGCAACCACAGTCACAATGTGGGACAAAACACAACCCTAAGCAATATTTCTTTCAGTCGTGTGTGGAGCTGGGAATTCAATCACAAACAGCTTCCAGACATTAAAATACATATCCTTATCACTTGTACTTACTGTTTAACAAGCTAATATCTACAAATATCAATTACATCTTATTTTTAAAGAAGTAAGAAACAAATATACTACTCTGTTACGGACGCTATTTAACTCTAGGGCCACATAAAGCTCCTATATGTGAAGTTATCGGGTTCTACGTTGCATATGACCGACTAACTCACCTTACGTAGGTTGCTTTTTTGAAAGGACATAATCTGTGATTGAAGATCAACAGTAAGACCTGTCGTAGACTTTGGAGGAGCATTTGATGTGCATTCTTTCTCAACCCCAGTGGTGGGACATGCTGGAGGAGGTGGTGGAGGAACAACTGCGGGACTCGGGAATACGGGTGGGGGAGGTGGTGGCGGTGGAGCAGGGATTTCATAAAGAGGGGGTGCAGGCAGAATAGGTGGTGGTGGTGCGACTGGCTTAGGAGCTACTTGTGGAACAGGTGGTGGTGGTGGGTGTTGTATTGTAACCGACTGGGAAGGTGTAACAGAACCAAGATTTTGTCGACGGGGTGCGGAGGGCGGTGGAGGTGGCGGTGGTGGTCTAGGAGGGGGAACATTAGTAGCTGGTATGTTACGTCTATCACTCTGAGAACCAGTCAGTTGTCGTTGTATCTAAAAATAAAAGAAATGTGTATGATAAATTAGGCATAAGCTAAAACAAGTATAAATGTCTAGTGACTGAAAAGGGTGTTATGGAATGCATAAAAAAATTACTATGGATTATTTCCAGACCATATTACTGATAGACAGGATATTAATGGATTTAGCAACAATCACAATAAATTGTGCACAACTATAGTCATCATTTATCACAGATACAAAAGTATACGGCTAAGTAGCACCTAGCTAAATTGTTGGACAAATAAAATAGAACAAAGATATATGAAATTTACTTAAGTTACATCCCAACGCAACTAAATAACACAGCCAAAGATGAACCAAACTGAACGCAATATATGTAGAATGTTAGCTCCTTAAATAAGTTCAATGCTTAAGTTAAGCTATATGTGCATCATTAGAAGACAATTTACTTGAACAATAATAATATATAATTTGTTGCAATATATTCAGCCATAAGTCATTTTTCTAGTTATTTTAAACTAACTGATATAAGAGTTGTATATCTCTAAAATTCGTAGGTAGTGTATTACCTTCAGACTATTTTGCATGACTGAATGATGTAAAACTGTTTAAGGAATTGAGGGCGATGACATCGTTATTCTAGTCCCAAATAAATGCCCGCGATTCATAGATATCCTCAGAAATCTGCTGCAATTAGTCATTAAGCGTAGTTTTCGGCGATTGGTTTATTTGAATTTAATTATCTTCTTGAATGTGAAGTCACCGTGAATGATAACTTCCTTACTGTAATCCAGAGTTAGGATAACCATTATAACAGAACGGATATTATAAAAGTTGGAAGTGGGTTTTTCGAATTATTATTATGAATTTATGGGATATTTATTAAGCAACCGCATTAACTACTGTTAAACAATTACCCATTTTAATATGTTGTCAGTATGTTATTTACAGTCTCCATTTCCCACAGTCAGTTTTGGATCGTTCATGAATAATTGTTATTCTTCACTTCATAGTGCAATGTGGTTTGAAATTCAATGTTAGTGAAGGCTGATTACTGACATCTGAACTGAAGGGCAGTGTAGAGAGGGAAGCTACAAGACTGTGGATCAACAAGGACACAGAAGTTGAATCAAGGTTACTAGTCCTAGTTGGACACAATAAATCCGAGATACTAGGTCATAGAAATCGGGGTTCTGATTGGTGGTTTGTTACGCGTTATTAAACAGCGAACATAGGTCATAACAATAACCTATAATGGATGACACGTTCTTTTATTCCGTAGTTTAGACTATTCATTGATATAAGTTCAAATACAACATTGAGTTCTTCATAGTTTTCACTGTTATGATACTGGATTTTGATAAACAATACTTATTCAAATAAACTTAAATGAAATTTCCAGTTATTAATGGTATTTACTTAATCGCTTGAAAGTAGATCAAGGTAAGAGACTAAAACATAAACTGGAGATAATCAATGAAAAACGTTTAAAAATTTATAATAAAGACGTATCTAGTATGATATCGGTAGTATCTGGATTTCATGATAAGTAAATTTATAGTTGGAGTTACTGAGTTTAAACACGACAATTTTTCGATGTTAACTCTAGTCTAGCGAAACCGATTACATAAACAATCATGTAATGCATGTTTATGTAACGGTTCCTCATAATATTTTAGAGGAATTTATAAATAACCATAACTTAAGTGCAAAAAAACACTTGTAGATTATATGATTAAATTCAATACACTGTGAGAAGCGAATACTTTATTTCGATCATCAGTTATCTTAAATCATGGAAACGAAGCGCTTGAATAGAGTCAGTAATGTATTCGCTCAATGTTACAGACTATTAACATTATTAACACAATTAAATGAGTCATATGCTCACTCACACTTAACCTTTTCTGTATACTGTATGCTTAGTCGTCTTGCAATGACCAGTCAAACAAATAGAAAATTAGTGATAATTATTATGGACAGTGAACATATTTTCAATTACACAGTTGTTTGGTGTTTTGAATAAATGTTATCATAATATCAAAAAATATAGGCATATGGAATCGTTAAGATGGAAGAGGTAAGAGAATAGCGGTTAATACAACCAGTTTAATCTGAGTAAAAGGGAACATATACACTCAAAATGTTCTGGTCAAATATGCAGTTTATGAAAATTAACATAAATGTACATGTTTTTTCGATAAATCAGTAACTAAGTTATGTTAATCATCTAGTAATAATATGTAGAATAAATAGATAAACAAAGAACGACGTAGAAACTTGGACGAAACTGAATAGGTTCACAATATACATAGTGAATAAGATAAAAATGAATATGAAAGGCTGGTGGAATTTACTAGAATAAAGTATTTAAAATACATTAAAATACTTTATTTATGTAGGTGTGTAACCTATGGGTTTCTTACTAAAATTTCTTGACTTTTTATTAATCAGTTAGATGAAGTAAAAACTGCCACAAATACACATCAATCCATGTTACCACATGATCAATCATCTTTTAATTTATCGCATTGTCTTAACTCATTTACACGTCAGCGCTGTTGATACGAACCATTTTGTAGGGAAATTTATAAATAGGTACACTGAATTTTATATATGGAGTTTTATCAAGTGAAGCAAAGATTCACATAATAGCAATATACAGCAATTCAAACAAATGCAATTTAGACCTGTGTATGAAGTAGGGATAAAAGCAATATTAAATCACGTCGGGTAAACCACGTTCTGAATATTAGTATTATTATTAGACTAAGATAAAAAGAGTCGCACACAAGGTTATTAGTAATTATAATAGATCCTTAGTTTAGTTTGCCGATTATTCTAGTACCTACTTATGTAAAATTGTAAATATAACAAGGTGAATTGCATACAGATAATTCTACTTTTTATTCGACGATCGGTACCTCATTAACAAATGTATGTAAGCACTTTTATCCGTACATTTTATGTGAGGGTTACTGATAATACTCAACTGTCTAAACGGTAGATACGATGCGTTTAGAACCTCGAACTTAATGGTTGAAAATCAAGTTAAAAAGATCAACCAGTCTGATCAATAAATAATTTGATACAGTCTACACTACGTAAGTGTTTAAGTATTTGGTATTTTCATAGTTACCCATGTAGAATTAAAGTGTATGGATTTTAAAAGAAATAAACTTAAATCTAGTTAGCACTGTAGATAGGGGTGTTACTAATCGTACATACAAAAAATGAGTACGTACATGATCTGAGAACAACGATAATAACCAATAAAATGTTCATATTTTTAGAACTAACCATCACAGATAGACATGAATTCATACCATGATGTAAACACACCCATCTATGGCTCCAGCGGTTTCTTATTGATTAAATTTCGTAAAGTTAAATAGTTGTAGTTGAGGATTTAGTTAATGATTCGTTTAATTATCAAAACACTTATTCGATTTTCTACCATTGAGTAGTAAATTTGAAATATGCTTCAGCTAATTTGGATTAAACAGCCATATAACACTACGAATGTTTACACTTACACAGAACGTGTGGCACAAAGCTGAGTGCATGAAAATGTAGTTGATCGCCAGATTCTAATTATCTATTATCACATGAATTCAGTAAACTACAGTTATTTTACAAAATAAGAATAAGATTTCAGTTACAATAATGCGATTCATTTGTACTTTTTTTCTGTGATTTAACACATCTCAGTGATTTTAATCTTGTTATCTATAAGACAATAAAGAATCAGTCATTTAACTATGAAATTTGATTTGAACAAGTTGGTAAAGTCACATGAACATACCATTTACATGAATTAGTGTTCAGTGTAAATCAATATGTAAAGACGTTGATCACTACTGTAATATTCTATGCAGTAACAAACAGGTTTTATAAAGAGATAACAAATTTTTGAAAATTATCAGGTAACGAGAATAATAGAAAATTGAGTCATCCTGCAGTGGAACAGACGTCATGCATATATTTAATATTTTCGAAAGAATTCTCTCTTGATAAACTTTTAGACGGTTAACCCGACATATTATGTAGGATCCTGTAAAAAGACGGTACTTTTAACCTGAATCGATAAATCTCAGAAATGATGTAAACAAAACACTATCAATATATATCATCATTATTTACCTCTTCCAAACCACCATGTTCACGGGCGAAATTGTAAACAAACGTTCGTTCGCTTGGTATATTCATAGCATCTTCACGTCCAATAGCACGCAGTATGTTGCGCATGATTGCGCTTTCTTGTGAAGATATATCAAATGTCTTGGCTTCTCTGTCATAACCAACATGTTCAATATGACGAAAATTGGAAGGATTACTGATATCTTTTGATGTAAGCTTCTGCTATATAAAAATATATACATGTACATGAATGAGAACTACAATAATAACAATTACTAATCAAGCAAAAATAAACAATAGTACATTGAATATCCTTCAAATAGTTTTAAAGAAATTATGAGCAAACGAATAACTAACAAATAATGGTCAATCATTCCACATCCCCTATTGACTAATAATTCAGTAAGGTTGAGCGTTTAGTTTTGATTTACTGGGCTGAATTGAAGAGTAATGGCAAAAAATTTTGATGTTTAAAACAATACATCCAGAGCTTGAGTTTTAACGGATAAATGCGACATATAGTGACGCGTTGAATCCAATTTATTGTTCGATGATGATCCGTAGTGTAGCAATTTAGTCTGTACACGACCGATCCTTACAGAATCCAGCTCGTTGGTCTCGAAGTTGAGCGTCTACTGCATCTTTCATCCGGTTCAGCAACACTCTGTTGAAAACTTTTCCTGGTACTGACAGTAGTGTGATGCTTCTGTAGTTCTGACATTTGCTCAGACCTTCTTTCTTTGGTATCTTGATGAGGTGTCCTTCTTTCCAGTCCATCGGCACTTGTTCTTCCTCCAAATCTTCTTGAATAGAGTGTGAAGCATGTTTGCAGTTACTTCAGTGTCTGACTTCAGTGCTTTAGCTGGTATATTGTCAAGTCCTGCTGCTTCCTCACTCTCGATTTGTCTGATGGACATCCTGATTTCTTCGATCGTTGGTGGAGTGACATCTATAAGAAGGTCTGTGTGTGTTGCTTTGATGACCGGTGGATTCAATGGAACTGGTCTGTTCAAGACTTCCTCAAAATGTTCTACCCATCTGTTCTTCTGTTCTTGAATCTCCATGATTGGCTTTTCTTCTTTTTCCTTTACTGGCCTCTCTAGTTTACCATATCTGCCTGCTAGTTTCTTCGTTGTATCATATATATTCGATAAACCGTTAATAACTATGAAATCATGCCATAATTTAATTGAATCGTCATGCATCCCATTTCTAACCCAGTTTCATTTAAGACAATATAACGATGTTATAAGCTGTTGAATCACTTTTGAACAATTATTTTTACCAAAATTTACTGTTTCAATCAATTAACTAATTTTGTCCTTTCATATACAATTTTTTATGCCAACAGAACTAACTGATGATTGATTAATGTTAAATTAAGCATTGAAATACTGATTTTAGCGTATAACTAATTTCTTAAAAAGCGTACCAAGCTGTTTTATACTACTTATGTCAGATGATTTAATTTTTTTTATTATCGCTATTAATTTAATTGTTCTATGTTATAAGTGATTCACTAGAGAACAATAATTACTTATCAAAATTTCGAATGACATTCCTTTTAAGAATGTGACTTTTCTAACATACACAAATGTATATATGCAAAGACCTGCTTGTATTATATAAATAAAGTATATATTCTTTTTTACTCATAGAAATGTTCTTTTCACAAAAATCAAGTTATACCCCAAGCAATAAAATTATTCAAATAATAATTCTAAGAATGCGATGACTCAGTAATTTAAGAAGCAAGCAAGTAGTCAATTATTAGTGTAACATCATATTATAGGTTATTGTTTAACTGATTTACAACGAATGTTGTCAGGATTTTAATTTTAAGCAAATGTACTCAAAGCTACGCATAGAATGAAGACATTGAAGCTGAATGAGAATATGCCTCTATACAGAACAAAATTTATAATGAAAAAAAAACAAAAATACATCAATGTGAGTGAATTAGTCTGGTGAATTAGAACTTCAAAATCCCAATGTCCTATATTTACTTATATTTAAGCACATGAACATTATTACAGAGGGGTACCGAAATGCGTATGAACCAAACTTCATTCTATTTGTGTGAAGGATGAGATACTACCTAGTCGCCCAAACCGAAGCAGATGGTTTTCTTAGAGTCTTTGACCTAGAAGTCTATTCCACGAGGCAGAGGAGCAACGTAATAAGATGCAGTCCCGTATTATTCGGTAACCAACAACAGATTCATACGCCATTTGTTTCCATAGGATCCTGGAGCCCATGTGCATCATTAGTTGGGAAACAGGGTTTTCCAACTCCTCTAGGCGGATCCCTCGTACCCATCAACCCGGTTAGGATGCCGGACATTCGCTTTTCGTGCTCTCAATTTCGTAAACAACAAGGCAGTGAGTAGGACTTCCCTGATAGTGGTTGTATACGCGCGACCATGTGAGAGTATTTCGAAATGGAGAGAGAACTCTCCCCACCCTCGACCGTACCCAAAGCATTCGATACTATTCATACATAATTATCAACTTAAGTGAAATTCAATTCCACTTGTAACTAAATTAGAAAAATTTATATGCATTGGATTTTTCATTATTACATATGATCTATGATGTGATAGAAAAAAATAAGTTTTATAGCTAATATACTAATTTTTACAACTTTTCAGCTTTGCTTTGCCTAGCTAAAGCTAAGAATTAAAAGTTGTAAGGTCAGAATATTGTGAAAGTGAACTGCCACAACATATTCAACTTGAAATGATTGTATATATTCTAGGAATTATGTGTTGTTAAATCAAATACACTTTTATACGCAGTAATACACGGATCCAACTAATAGTTGAACCTGATTAACTGTGGTTCACTGATTAAAATAGACTTTATATTACCGAATTGTGGCTCAACTGACCCTACTTTCATTTAAACAATTAGGTAATATCTAAAAAAGAAATACGATGCCAATCAACATGAATACAGACACCACTATTTAGTAGTTCGACAGTATCGGAAATAAAACAACCATCTAACGAAAGATAAATGAATACCGACAACATTTGCACACAATTTCAGACTGACATTTTTCATGTATGAATGATTGTCAACACAGATCCACAGGTTGGAGGTATTTTAGAAATGAATGCTTCAATAAATCCTACACAGAAATTTGACTTAAAAACTGAAAGCAAATAAGAGAATTACCTATAAATTTCAAAATGGAGAAGGACTACAGCAACTAATGAAAACTCACGTTACCTTTTGAAAGTATATTAGAATATTTGATTATTTTAAAGCTAATAAGAAAGATAAAACTAATCATAGATTGATTGCTGAGATTTGATGGTCTATCTATATGAACTATATTCAGTTAAGTGTGAGAGAAAAATTATAGACAGGCTATAAAATTAGACACTCATTGATTTAACAAAGTACATCAGAATCTAAAAAGGAAGCCATAACTAACAAATGACTCAATGAATTTGTCGATGATAAGTCAAATTTAACTAATATTCCAATAGAGCTCACTCTGAAACGTGACGTTGAAAATTTGATATACGCGACTAAACTATATAAGTTGCACAATTGAGGACAGATTTAATTTAATGAAAACAGGAAGTATGTAGTTGATAAGCCTAATTAACTAATGATCAGTAATCTATGGTATAAATATTTGATGAACTACAGTATCTCAACACACACGAAGCAGACAACTGTTATCTGATTGTACACATTGATGGGACTGATTAGTAACTATCTTATATGTGACTATCTATCAAACATATCTGGGAAATACAAATGTTTCTTTTTAACACAAACTTGGCGACAATGTAGGCTTTAAAAAATATTCGATTGCACTTACGTCCAAAAGATGGTCCAATAAACCAAGTTAACAACTTGGATGGTAACAAAAGTAAAGATGTCGAAAATATTCTAAAAGTATTTTACATTGACGGCGATTATGGATTAGATCAGACTGTATAAGTTTAATAGCTAGATATAAAACAGTAGTGTAGTGCGAACAGACATAAGTAGTATGTAGCAGGAATTGGAAGTGAAACGCTTACCAGTAAAAGATTGAGATTAAGAAAAGAGGGAGGAAAACAGAGAGCAATTGGAATAAAAACAGCATTTGAAGTATGATATAGCATGTAAAGGATAACTTAAGGAAGATATGCAAATGATGCATTTGATGTATGGTTTTTCACAATTTACAAAGGCAGTGTTTGATTTTGTATAAAACAATAAATTGGTTTATCGTACCTAATTTTTTGTTCACTACAATAGGACTTGGATAATTTAGTATTATTCCTTTTTTTAAAAATAGTTGAAATATTATTAAACTTAATTAAGCTTAATCAGTTAGTGAATTTTACAAAACAAATAAGTGTGGTTGCATATAATTGCCAATAAATTAATAAAACTAAGAAATACATAGATTGCATAAATAATCATTAAAGTTGATAAAATACACTAATCATTATAGAAACAATCCTTTTGTAATGAACAAAAACATAGGTGGGGACAACCAAGTATATTACAGAGTTATTTGGTAAAATGTGAAAACTACACGTTCAACCCTTCATTTGCAAAATGTCCATTAATTATACCAGACTTTCTTGTTCCTTCATTTTCATATCAATTACCCTCCGTCCCCTTTTTTCTTCTATTCGATCTTCCCAACCTACTCCCAAGCCTTTCACTTTTGATTGGTGTTACATACCACTTATGTCTATCAGCATAATTAACATACACCACACTTTGAATATCTTTTTTAATTACCGATCATCATAAAAATAATTTCTATTCACAGAAATTCAATTAAAATTCCGATTTAATTTATAATAGTTTAAAATAATACAGATTCATGATAAAACGTTTTTAACAAATGTGAATCGATGCATTAGGATAACTGACTTGCAACCATTGAGTAGTCGATTGAAGCTAAGTTATATTTAGCATTATTTTGTAAAGTTCGATAATATATCTGGTACTTGGAAAAATAAATATAATTCAAAAATCTGTACATCAACGTTAAGTCAAAATCTCCACACAAAATTCAATTTCAAGTTGGGTTTATTTTTACAAATGACTAAGTATCTCATGTACTAAGATGGTAACAAATGTAAAAAAAATATTAGTAAAACGAGAATTAATTACTCCGCTGGTAGTGATAATCAACAATGAGATGGTAATAATTGTGATATTGTAAACAACCCATAACATACTATTAAATATTTATCTCGGTACGAATTTCGATTCTTTTAATTCTGTTATTATCCCAATTGTTCTCTAGGTCCCTTCATGTTCTCTTCAATCTAATCTCCTGCTGGCAGGCATTCCACTCCCGATTGCTGCTACAAACTACTTATACCTGTTAGCATAAGCAGTATGCACCACACTGTCGCAGCTGGGATTCGAACCTCGGCCAGTGCAGTATACACCACAATACGACTAAGTGCTCATAATCTTTTCGAGGGATAATATATTAACTGAATTCATTTAGGGATGGTGTCAAGACTAAAGTTAAAAGCAAACAGCGGACACTTAACTGATAAAGCGAGTTCGCGTACTCGAAGTCAATCTAGAGGAGTTGATAAATCATTGATAAATAAGGATCACAGAATACTACATAAACAGACTGGATGTGAACACAATTCGATCACCCGTTACAGTGAGAATTTATATGCCGATGTTGACCGACAGCCAAGTGCATAAGACCTTTGAAGTAAAGATTGATAGAATTCCTACGAGAAAACCATCTGTGTTGATTATATGCTCAGGGGACGTTAGATTTCTCTGATATATCGAAGAGAATATCAACAAATTAATGACTCTGGAACTGTTTTATGGAATAATAATACATTTTTTATTGTCTAATTATTAAATATCTGGATTATTACATTACTAAATTCCCTTTATTTTACGCTTAAGTTGAATTTATCGACTATTGAGATAAGTTTGACCATTCCTCAATTTCGATAATGCAATGAGAAGACGAAGGTTATCAGAATTATGTGATATATTTTCGCAATACACTTCGAACAATACATCCTCCATTGTATTGTCCGTTCATAAAAAGGAGACACTTTCTCTTGGTTTTAATTTTTCTGTCCCTACAACAAAAATCTCTGAATTGACAATCAATGCCCAATTCGAAAACCTATATGATCAATTGAGTACTTTAGTCCCTTCATCGTTAGAGAAGTAAACTTAATTTAAAGCTAAACTAGTGGATATAGCGCATCAGTTTCATTCTTCTGGACCAAAACAGAGAAGTGTATTAACTTCTCAGCACTTCAAATCATTAAAAGAATTGCTAAATAATGCCGATATTATTATAGTTAAGCCCGATAAAGAATCTGGTGTTGTTATTACGAATAAGTCCGATTACAAAAATAAAATGGAATCCATTCTCGATCATAAAAGCAATTTTATGGCTGATGTTGACTCCGATGGATCACGTAAATTAGGAAAGTAAACTAGAATCTAATGAAATTGTTAAACATGAAGGCTATTAACAAGGATAAGTTTAATTTGTTGAAACCTATGGGTTCGGTGTATTCTAATTTATATGGATTACCAAAAATTCATAATCCTAATACCCCCTTACGACCAATTCTATCAAAGTGTCGGTTACCTACACACAACCTTGCAAAATGGCTTACAAAAGTATTAAACCCTATCCAAAATCAATTTTGTAAGTATTCCTTGATTGAATAATTTGGATTAATTAAGTACTTAAAGGACATGAATATAAAAACTATTGATATTTTATGTGACGATATCTCACTGAATATCCTTGCATTCCCAGTTCCTGTTAAAAGTCTTAAAGATTTATTATTATTGTGTACTGACAATGTAAAATTCGCTTTTGAGGGTGAGTACATTCGACAAATTGATGGCGTAATTATGGATAGTCTTTTAAGACCCCGAGACATTTGGTTGAAACAGGTTATAAGGTTGATATCAAGTCGGCGTTTGTAGTGTTGTACAAAAGCCTTCAAGGACGTATACTGAAGTTTATTGAAGCCATGATTATACGAAAACTGAAACCCCCTTTATGTGTTCAAAAACAATTTGTTCTTATCCTACCCTGGTACTACTGATCTATTATCCAGAGTGGTTATCACATTGTTTTTGTATATATATATATATATATATATATATATATATATATATATATATATATATATATATATATATATATATATATATATATATATATATATATATATATATAATTAAGGTGTCTTTATCTGATAATGTTGAAAATAAAGAGCCAATAAAAAAATTTCAAGTTGCCTCTGTTAATGCTCAATAGCAACTTTAATAAATGCTTATGAATACTATTTTTATGGTTAAATTAGCTACAGCAGGTGACTACTCAACTGAGTATACACTATAAGCAAGTGAATGAAGTAAAATTCACACAAAAAATTCCAACGACAATTACGAAATTTGCTAGCTATGAAGATAGGAGGCTGAAAATAAGACATGTTATAACGAAAGCCATTCATCGATTAAGAACTAACACAAATTAATTGCTGACAAAAGTATTGAATATTTGACATAACAATCGTTATCTTCACTTGAATGTATTTTAATATTCAAAAGCTATTTAAGAGTAATATTAGAAGTTAGTCAGAAGCATGGAAACAAAAGACAAGCCATAGGAATACAGGATAATAAACAGGGACATACAATGAATGTTGAATCATACAAGATGTGAACTCACCGAGTTACTTTCAAGAGAAAATAGGTTGGTTAGTATCTAAAATTTATTGGCAGAGTACAACGCAAATATCAAAAGTGAAAACACATCAAAGTAAGATATGTAAATACGAGTTACAATGATAAATAAAGCTTTTCCTGAAAATATAGATGATATTCAAGTTAATTAGACTGATTCATCACAAACAGACCATTAAAATATTCAGGGAGACAAAAGAGTTAATTAATCAACTATAGAAATCCCTAATTAATACTACTGTTATTACTACTAGTAACCAATTCAGTGTGGTTCGGCATCGAACAAGATTAAAAGAGAACATAAACATAAAAATAATACATATGTAATATCCCAGCCAGCAGAAAAACTAAATTTTTTGACGTTTTGAGACTCAGTGTGAACCACTTCTTCAGAGAATAAATAAACAAATTAAATTAACCCAAGTTTAAATAGTAGTTAGATTATGTTTGGTTAATGATAAGTAGTTTACTGATAGAAATAATAATAATGATCATGGTCGGATAGTAAAAGGGAAGTCAAAAATTCAATTTCCATTTAAAAATGCACCAAAAATGTATTGACCCTAAGTCAAATAAAAACTAGTTTGTCATAAATTTGTAGAACCTACCCCTAAATTGAATACAGAACGAGTTAAATGACAAATACTAGCAAACAACTAATCCGAAAAGTCTAAAATTTGGTAACAAACACATGTAGATCAACTATACACATAAACAGCATACCTTTTTTCCTTTCGATTTTGTTTTGCCCCTTATAGACGTAACTCCTTGATCAGACAATTTTGTCGGATTTAAACTATAGATACCAGCTTGCACGATTGGTTGAGAACCAACAGTATGTAGATTCAATGAAGGCTTCTCAACAGCAGCTGCACGCATAGATCTTAAACGACCATTTACTGTATGTGCAAAATGTTTAGCCTCCTCAAGAGATGCGAAAGCAAGTCCAACTGGCCCATCATCTGACTGCAATACGTGAAACCATTTTAGTTCCTCAGTATAATCCATTTCCAAAAATAATCTTTGCTCTAAGAGAGGAATTCTCCTCTATAAATATAGTTTGTATTGGAAACGAAGAAATGAGAGTTGACTTACAATCACATCATATATTCTGATGAAATAATCCTTATAATTTTTGTCCTTGATACAACATACAACGCCACAACCTTTAAGCACCCAATTCGATTCATTTTCACCTTTGAAATAGCGTACCACAGCAGAAGCTAATGAATCGCAACCAGTTCCAAACAATGAATATAATACAGAATTTTCCTCGTTAGTTAGTAGAACCGAAGTTCCACCTACTGGAGCGGACTATCAAAGGTCAAAAGCAAATGTGTAGAATCAGAAAACGCGAAAACTGTATCTGAGTACGCCTTTTAAAGAGGAGTAAAACGAGAACGTCCCAACCAAACAAAAAAATAGACAGGTTATGGTTCATAACAATACTTCCACAAGTAAAGCATCAGAAAAATGATTCTACAGTAGTTTTGTTTCGTCAAAATCCATGATGACAGTATACTACTAACGATCAAGATTGCCGTTAACATGATACGGATTGAACTAAAGAATATTCCGTGCAGGATTGTGTTTGAGTATGTTGATTGGCCATTTCTTAATAAATCAGTCCAAACGGATACTTAGAGAAGACTCGAGAATCCTCTTGTGTAAAATTCTAGTTATACTAACGTTTCTCTTATAATTCCCACTTCTATTCAGCCTTGTTTGTTTCGGATATAATTACGTTCCTGTTCAGCTGGGTTGTAATGAGAGACCATAAAAATCACCCAAGGTAACTTCCGGATCGAGGACACTACCTTAGCCTGTTTTATACATCTTAGAGATATGGGACTATGAGACCGATGCACAACTGAATACAGTGATTTTAAGTGTACGAAGTTCTTACTCCTCAATTAGCAAATATGATGAGTCGTTAAGTGCCTAAAATGAGACTGAAATGGATGCCGCTAAATATGAGATGAAGCGATCAAAAAACACCAGTGTTATTCACTAACTTCCAGAAAAGAAACCATGTGTGAGGTTAGTTTTTACACAAAAGTTGCTTATACCAGTAATTTGGCAGATGAGTCAAAAACAGAATACAACATATTGATCTACAATTTTAAGCCTTTCAAAGCATTCAAGACTTTTAACAATCAAAATTTGGTAGTTTGCTAATATAACGCCTCACTTTTCTACAAAAAGATTTAAAATAAACAAGATATTTTAGAAGTCTACTCAATTTTATGACTGAGTGCACATGGTAAGCACAAATCATTATTGACATAACGGAGAGTAGTGAAATTCAACCCGTACATAGATGCTGTTTTCACAAAATTTACGCAAAAATAAAAGATAATAGACAAAAACATTAAACAAAGTTGTATAACTAGGATCACATGTTAGAATTACATTAGGGTAAGCAATGAAAACTCCAGCAAATCAAGTTAGGGTTTGAGACGAAATGAAAAACCAGTAACCTCGGTTATAATAAGTCTGAGAAGCAGTAAATCCATAAACACAGGTTTTATAATAATGATAGTTCACAAACAGATGATAAAGTACAACAAGCGTACAGTGTAGAAATTACGTAAATATTTACGTTTGAATGAACAACCGCCAGACTGACACGGTTGAACTTGCAAGTAATATAACGGAAATATTTACCCTGTGTTATATTCAATAAATATTAAAGTCATGAGAGTCACCAACCGATTTCGCATATTCTGTAGTACATTTTATAGTCTACGAATTGCAAGTCATCAGAGCTGTAACTACTAGTGGCTTCTGATTAATGTGAATCTCTACTACACCCAGTGACATATATAATCAATCCACTTTAAATCAGGAATATCAAAACAAAAAGAAACCTGAGGTATTTAGTACCATATTATATCGATTTTATGCATTGATAGAGAAGTAACTGAGTAGATTACGATGTAAACGTACTTGCTTAGGTTTATTACATACTAAAAAAAAATTGAAAACTGGCCAGTGATAACAATATTGGCCATCGGGATCCAACAAGTGGATACTAAGTACTTAGTCAACACAACAATACAGTTCGAAGAAAACCAACTCAGTGACCTGACTTAAAATGCAGTATACACAATAAAAGGTCAGTGTTGAGTTCTGGTAGACAGTTCAATTTGAAACATTTACTTTATTTAGGTATTTTCTAAACAAAATAATCTTAGAACAATTGATGACAGAGTAGAGACCGTCAGAGGGTTACGGCATGCTTGTTCGAATATAGAAAAACATGGGGCCAACGAAATTATTGCCACCACGTCTTCAAGTCATCTAGGATTCCAGGTTTATCCTTTGCCCAAGAAACGAAGGAAGAGGGACTGGGAAACAAGCATTTGCAATTTGGCTCAAACCTCTCCAGCCTAAGAACACTAACAATCAATAAGCACCATGTTAAACATAAACCATAGTGACAGGTTACAAGCCCTGAGTGAAACCAGCTTTGTTCACATCAAGAATGATAATGGGAGCATCAGAGGATTAGAATAGTATAAGTGAACTCATTTATAATTTCACCTAAACCTTAAATTATCTGTGCTAAAACTCCACTAGACACAACCAGAGCAACGAGGATCCAGACTTTAGAGATCAGTTAATCATTAGAACTAGAAATTAGTACAAACAGTATAAAGCAAAGTAAATCCTACAAAGGCATAAGAAAGGAGCATACCGTCCGCATTTATTTGAAAGCGCGCTTTACCGTGTCGTAACACCCACACTTTTACTTCACCTGTTGAATAAATTCCACGCATTAACACACTGTACCCTGGTTCAGTTAAAATAATTTTTTTAAAAGACCACAAAGAGCGAAGAATGCTTGAATACGTTTGTTTAAGGATATCTAAGACCACTTATAATCAGTTTGTTCGAAACATGCTGAAGTTAACCGTTTGATTATTTTGCCACCATCTCGTAGTGTTAAGGCACTTTTCCGGCTATTTAGTGCCGTCCAATGTAAGTAGTCCAGCCTCTCATTTGGCGTAATAATAATAAATAGTGATGCTGATCATCCTGATCGAATTGATTCAGACTAGTCATATAATTTTGATGTCGTGTGCCGATAATTAGTTCCAGAAAGAGTTTACTAGTGCATATCAGTCACGGTAGTAACCACCAACACACATCCATATTTGCAAAAACAAAAATGCGTTGGATTGACTGTAATTCAAAACCTGAAAACAACCGACCACAGAAGCTTAGTAACTGTTAAAAAATTTCGTGTTTTATGGCACTTTTGAAGAGACTTCTAATGCTTTGACGATATTGTGCATCGGAATTTACTTACTAACTATGTAAGACCACCAATACAAATCTGCAGCAAAGTATTCAGTCCATACCTCAATAACGATGTTGAAAACGTGAGTATGATGGACCATTCATCACAAAACTAGTGGCAAGGCTTTAAAACATCTAATAAACACCATCAGCATCTAAACATTATTTGACTGAACAGACCTCGGTGCTGAAAGTTCTGATGATCTCTAGAATTCAGCCGGTAGGTTCAGCCAGTTCGACTACAGCGTTGTTTTGATTTTGAGGCAAACACTACCTGCACCTGTCGTGGTCTAAACAGACCCACGCCAAAGGTTCGTTGACCAACGACCTCAAGCACCCGTAACAACGTGTCTGTTGCTGAGACATGTTGAAGAGTTGATCTAACTTTTGTCGATCGGTTAGATTCTCACGCCTAAGAATAGCCTTTTCGAGTTACGTAAAGTTCCGAGACATCACTAGTAAACATATCAGGTATGACATACCTGTTAAAATCGTGAGGCAAAGCCTTCACTAATGCGAGGAAATCTGCACGTGTTCTGTCGTGCCGTGTTCGTGGAAATGAGCTCTTGAGTTGCAGAACCAAGCTTCGATGTTGTCGGTCAAAAATGGAATTAGCTCAAAGAGAGTGGCAAAAAGGTTTTGATATTAAATACCTTAGGATCTGTTCGGTCATTGTTATGTATGTGAAAATCCCTCTATTTATACATTTGTATTTTGTTCCTATTGATTCCTTTAGTCGAACATTTTGTTAGTCTTTTTGATTCCATTTGAGTCGGTAATGTTTGTATTTTATTATAATTTTCTATTTTTCTTACGCATTCACTAAATTTCCAGGTTTCTTCCTGACCTGCACTTATGTTGTTTTACTTTATACATAGTCTTGGTGGCAGCCATATTGGTTTGTTCCTCCTTTAGATTGTGTTACTTGTATTGATTGGAATTGTGCACTTTTGATTATGAAACGAGGCACTCTTCAGGAATCGGAAACATTCTGTGTTATAAAGCGACCAAATATTATCTTTAGAACGAATCTGTGCGTGGTCTATCCAGACAAGATAAAATAACATTTATTTGTTACGATTGGTATATTTCTCGCATCATTTATCAAATTCCTTATTTATTGTCATTTACATTTGATTAATTGAACAATTACTGGTTGAATAACTGGGTGATCATATTTGTTTAGTGAGTGATGTACATTTAAATTTATAACTAATTTCAAAACCGTCATTTTACCCAATCACTTTGCTTTGGTTTCAACTGGGTAAGGACACGTATCTAACCCACCTAGACAGCTATTTTTCAGTTCAAAACTTAGTTTGCATCTTACAGTCATGATGAACTTAATATGTATCAGTGAACAAGAAAAAATATCCGAAAGTTCTAAAGAGTATCAAAATGTGTAAAAAAAATAAAAAAATCGATATGAAGCTCCACGGGAACACAGACTCACAGTTTACGAATTGGTGTGCCAGAATACGTCGGGCTCACCACTAAAAGTGTCACAAGCAATGGGAGTTTGACAATGCCTTAATCCGTAACGCATTCTATAGTCGAAATATGCCAACCTAGTGAAATCAAAAATCAGAAGTGAAGAGGTTCGAGGATACATTTAATAAATTTGATCAATTTAAGCTGGCGAGTTGTTGTGAGGGATGTGTAGCACGGTGTGCTCACCGGTGATCTAGTGTAGAGGCGTGACTGAATGCTTTCAGATAGGTGCGTTTATTCAAACTAACGAGGTCAGCATCAAATATCAAAGAATTACAGAGCTATTGATTTCGGGGACTTATTAACCGCCACATCGTCATCGTGGGATCGCATTTTTCTCGTCGGATAGTCGTCGAATGTTTGAACATTATATACTAGCTATACCATTTCAAATGTATGAGGATAAACTGGACTTCTTTAGCACAATTTATCATGGGTTTTGAAAAAGTCATGTTTATAACTGAGGACTGTACTTTGAGACTGCTTATTGTATGTGGGATTTCGCAATTGTATAGCTATTCCAACAATTTGTATCTTGCTTTAAAATTCCTGTCTGTATGATTGATTAATAAAACGCGCAAAATATTGTTCTAAATATCGTAGTTGTTATATGATCAAATCGTTTTCAATCCGACTGGCTGTACTACTCTACACCTTGTATGTCGCCCTAAGATTCATGTGGCTTGGAGTGATTTTCGGGATGGAGACGTGTATTGTTGTCCTTAGATAAATCTAATGAGACTGAAAGTGTGATCATGGTTTGCATGTGAGCACATTTGAGCTATCCTAATAGGTTGACAGGTTACGGGCACCGTAGATGCAAAGGCACAGGTTGTTTACTAACAACCTGGTTTGAAGGCTTGCATAGCTTGTGACAAAGAAAGTTGACTCTAATTTGATTGACGTTCTTGATACCTTGAGTATAAAATCCTGATTTTGAAGGTTATAATTACCACCCTCGGTAAAATTTTAAGTGTCACAGTTTAATGTAGTTTCATCATTTAAAATTTCGAAAAGTAATCTAAGGTTAACTTTAATTCGTCGTAATCATAATGGACCCAGTTTTGATGCTTCAAATATATCTTTATATGATAGGTCAGGTGTGAGACGTTTTGTTAAATGGCATCGTACATTCTCAGTTTTCTACCGGTCTATGGAACAAAGCGTTTTTGAGTTACTCGTACTAAATTATATCAAAACACAAACTCTGTGCTCAATTTGAACTGTTCTAATTTAAGAAAGAGAACAGATTATATCAAAAATACAAAATACATCAGATGGCACAACCTGTGCTATGCGGTCAAGAGATCCTCTAACGCAAATTAGCGTGCTAATCAACAAAAGAAATAGTTATAACACATGAATCCAATACCTGAGAATGAATGAAAATATACCCGACAAGATGAGATCACATATCTATCTGCTGGGATTCCAGCAGTCCTTCCAGGTAGACAGTCAAAAGTTAACAGTCACATACTGAACCACGCCATGGTCTTGAGGTTAGTCGGGTACGACCTTATTGTCAACAGCCTGGCAACATGCAACAGAAAGATTAAGTAACAAACGGTAAGTCCTTAATCAAAGTCACTTAATAAATATCCAGTTGAGGAAGCATGAAGTACAGCGTGTGGTAAATGAAATATGAATACATGTTAAAATACACAACAGGGAGAAAAAACAAGTAAATGATAGTATTGTCTAGCGAAAAGCTGTGAAGGGGTTTTCCGCGTTTTCTTTCCGTCACAATATTGATACTAACAAAAGTAATAATAAATACGAATATAAGCATACTCCTGATGTTTAGGTGAAAATAAAGAAAATATAATAAAGTAGACGCACACAGTTTCAACGGTTCTACTTTACGTTCAATCAGATAAATATCGAACCTTGTTTATACAAACCGTTGGTGATCACATTAATGTTTGCATAGGTGACTGTGATAATTAGGAAAGTTTGAGTTATAGTGCATACTAAGGATCCCAGAAATAAAGCAATTCAAGCATGTAGTATTAAAGGAGCACGAGCAAACGTATTATATTTGGAATTTGAAATCAATCAATTAACAAGTACAAAAAAATCATTGGTTCATGCAAATATCACAGCGAAACAAACCACTATCGGAAACAAGGTCGTCAAGGAGACTTTTAAAATGCGTTGTAGTTTCCCTGCGACAGAGCTTTACTGAGAGTCTGTTTGACATGGATGAATAACGAGCAAAGAACAAATCCTGGCGTAATTTTGTGTAGATTGGCGGAATCGGTCGAATATTCCCTTTATTGCTCACGTTGTGGGTTGATATGATAGAGTTTGAAGGGGTGGGTGATGAGGAGTATGAAATGTCATTTAAAAACTGGTAGGTAAAGACAAATTTCGATTAATTGCACCTGATCCGGAGAGGTCCCAAATTCAGTTGTTGACATCTTTAGTGGCAATCTTCGTTGTCAAAATACTTCCAACAGGGCTTTAGTGAATCTTATTTGAACAAGACATTATGCCTGAGATTACTATAAACTTGAATTTTCATATTCAAGAATGAGTAAGATACATTTTCGCATAGTAATAGTTTCGATCCGATATTACTGAAATTTATCATTATGAATCCGGTGAGCTTTCTTGCTCTGAATACTTGAGATGCGATGTGATCCGAAAATTTCAAAATGTTGCTTAAGCCCAGGTCACGAACAGTGTTGAGAGGTTTCAATGTACGTTTTTGTATTTCTAAATTTAGGTTTTGGTAGCGGCCAATGTGAATAAATCCGCTTCTGTCGTCATTCAGTGACAGATTCTACGGCACGGTCCATTCGTATAACTTCTTTACGTCTACACGTATTACCGCTGGGATATAGTTTTCTTCGGTATGAGACGAGGAAAGCTTCACCTTGTTGGAAGAGTGAGCACACGTCATTAATGAAA